ACGCGCACGCTGCTCACCTTCTTCGACCTGGCGTGGCGGCTGCGCGTGAACTTCCCCTACTTCTATGTCGTGGCCTCGGTGCTGCTCAACGTGCGCCTGCAGGTGCGCATTGAGTGAGCCCCGCCGGGCCCGGGGTCGCCGCGCCCTGCCGCCCCTGAAGCCTCCTGAAGGGCAGCCCGGCCGCCCGCGTGGGGGGAGGAGGGCGGCGGCGAGCGGGCGATCCGCGGCTCCGGTGGGACGGCGGCCCCCAGCCCGGCCGGCGGGCGCGCAGGTGCCAACGACGTCGCAGGAAACTCCCGCGGGCCAGGCTCTGGCTCCGGCTCCCGATCGCCGAGACCTGTTGCCTGGCCGAGGGAAGCCAGAGGCAGGAAGCTCCCAGGGGAGGGGAAACCAGCAAACTGATTCGGGCCAGACCGCCACGGTAGGTGACGGAGTAGACCACAAGACCCTGGGGGTGCAGGCAGATGGGATCCACCCCCTCCCCCCATCCCCAGAGGCCCCATGGTGACATTTGAACCTGGGAAACAACAGGAAGGCAGGGCAGGCCTCTTCCCACCGCGATCCTTCACACCAAGCGGTTCCTGCCCATCTTTGGGGCTGGGCCCTGCCTGCTGCCACCTTGACTGTGTACCCCCACACTGTCGTGGAAACTGAGGAGGGCAGGAGAGGCTCCCCGCCAGCGTGCTGCAGATGCTCCCCTGGCCAGCCCCCTCCCAGGGCCACAGGGGCCCACCCTGCAGCGGGGTCACCCGCAGGAGCCCAGGAGACAGCAGCAGCTTCAGGTGGAAGCAGGGGCAGACCGGGGCGAGGGGCCAGGTAAAGGGCAGGAGGGGCAGCAATGGGAACACAGGGCACTCTGGATGGGAGGCATCATTGAATGTCTTTCAGGAGTCGGGGTGTGTAGGGGTGGCCACCCCTTCTCTGCCTGGGCAATATGGCTGAGTTCCTGCAGAGCCTCTCCTACCACCCCCAGCCCAGGAGACGCCTGAGGAGCAGCAGCCAAGAAGGCTTGACAGGTGAGCTCAGAGGCTTCAAGGCTGCCCCTCCAGTCTGCCCTGGGGAAGGTCAGCACCCTGTGCCCCAGGGACACTGTGTCTCCCAACCACACTGTGAGGGGAGGGCCAGGGCTCTTAGTGGGGACCTGCCACTTGGTCCACACTATGAAGTGGGGAGCAGAGTGCCCCTAGGCCTCCACTCCCAGAGGTCCTTTCCTTCCTCAGGTGTCTCTAAGACCTGGCACCTTGGGATGGGGAGGGAACACAGGGCCGTCAGCCAACCGAGGAGGGGGTGGCGTCATCTAGCCCTCCTTGGGGTGGGATAGAAAGTCCCAGAGAAGACCACAAGGACTGTCTGGCCTGAGATGGGGACAGAAAGATGAGTCCCAGAACCCCCAGGAGCGGAGGTCCCCACCCACACAGGCTGGTACCCAAACAGTCCGGCCTCCCAGCCCACCCTGTACTTTGTCAAGGGCGCTCACTAGTAGGGTCACGAGCCATGGAACATGGGTGGCAGCAATGGTAGCTGTGGGTACACTCATGTCTCTGTTCCCGGGACCTACTGTAACCAGGGTGGGATGGAGCTGAGACCTATAGAGTGCCCTTTGTCTCTCTGTCCCCAGGCTCGCCACCCCCACCCCACCGCCCGCTCAGGATCCCACTGAAGAATCTCTGGCTGCTCCTGGAGGCCCTGGTATGCTGCCACCTGGCCGGCTGCCCAGCCAGAGATGCGGGAGCAGGCCCCCCGTCCCCGCACCCACACTCTGGTGCTGGCTGCTCACAGCCCAAGTGCTCCGTGAACCTGGACTAGAAGTGGCAGCCTGTCCGCCTGACACAGAGGTCCAGTCTTAGCGGACTCCCTGCTCGGGTGCCCCGCTGGAGCTGGGCTGAGGAAAGGCCTTCTGCTGCCTCCACTCCCATCGCCGCAGCCGGGGCTGGGGGGCTTCTCTCCTTGTGCCAAGGCTCCTAGGAGCCCCAATCCTGGTGATCCCTATATCCACCCATCTCTCTCCACCCATGACAGTCTCTGGGGGCATGTCAGCCTGCTGTTTCCACCCACAGGTGGGGGGAAGCTGAGGAGTGAAGGGCCTCCTGACTATGACTCTTAGATTGGGCCCCTTCGAACCCAGGCTTGCCCCTCTAGGTGACCACCCTCTCAGCTCCAGCCTCTGCCCGGGCCACCCTGGAAGGGAGGGCCCTAAGAAGGGCCCTTCAGGCTGTGTGTGCACGTGTGCACTGGTTGAGTGAGTGAGTGAGTGGTGTGTGTGTGTGTGTGTGTGTGTGTGTTGGGGACAGAGTTGCCTGCAGGGTGTTCACCCCAGACATGGGGCTCCCCAGGAGCTGCCCAGGGCCTCGCACACTGCCTTCCCACAGGAGAAATGTGTGGCACAGCCCAGGAGTCCCTGCCCTCAGCTCGCAGAGACCCTGCCTTGCAGAGCCACCCCACCCCTGAGCAGGGGTCCCTGATGCTACCCTGCTATGGGCTGGGGGGTGGGGGGGTCTGGCTCAAGGGATTTGGGTAGGGGCAGGGCAGGGAGCAGCCTTAGGGTCTCTGACCACGTTGGCCTTGGGCAGTTGAGGGCTTCCCTTGTCTCCTATCCCCCACCACCTGCCTGAGTGCACTTTACTTATCCCAGAGAGGTGGGGGGTAGGGGGTGGGGTTTGGGTGTCAGGACCCTCAGGTGTCAGATGGCAGGGGGTTAACTGTACCAGTCGGCACAGCCTGGGCAGAGCAATGTTCTCATGTCTGTTGTTGTTGCATCGTGTTGACTCTTTAAGTTAAAAACCAAAAACAAATCTTCGAATTCAAATAAAATACAACAAAAATGAGGCCTCCTGTTTCCAGTTGATAGCACTTGGGGGCGGGGGAGATCCCCAGTGCTAAGGGCCTGGGCCTGGTGAAGGCGGGGTCTCTCGGGCTGTGGGCTTCTCCCGGTGGGGGTGGCAGGGGCAGGTGTGCAGTCTGTTCAGAAAGGCTCTCTAAGAGCAGACTGGCCTTGGACCACCACACCAGACAAGAGGCCTGGCCCGATGTACCTCGTGTGTCCTGTCGATCTGATGCGCTGGACAACCGTGGAGCCGAGGGTTTAAAAGCACTGACTCCTTTGAACCGGGGCTGGCTGCGGGTAGCCAATGAAGGGAAGCAGCAGATCTGAGAACCCTCCCGAGCTGGTGTCAGCCCAGGCCGCCCTCCCGCCCAGGTGGGTGTGAGTCTGGAAGCAGGTAAACAGCCCAGACCTGGGCGTCCTGCTGCCCTTCCGCCACAAGAGACCCAGGCTTAGATCCCGACACGCCCCGCTCCCTGCTCCAGGGAGCTCTGCAGAGAAGCCGGACCAGGACTGCTTGGTGCTCAGGGCTCAGAGTTGCCAACTTGCCAGAAGGCTGGAGTGTGGGCAAGAGTGCGGCAGCAGGGCCTCCTGAGGACACAGGTTGGTGGTCAGACTAAGGAGCTCAGGTTAGGGGTCCCAGGGCTCAGCACTAGTGGTGACGCCCTGTGGCGCCTTTCCTGGGTGCACTCTCACTAGAAAAATTAGGAATTGGAGCGTGCTAACAAGTAGAGCAACACCAAACCTGCGCCGCAGAACACCTGGTGTCTGTCTGTCCATGTCACTCAGTGCGTTTCTCCATCAAAGGCTGCCATTCTGCCGCGGGCCAGTGTCCCGTCATTTCCCTGAACCACGGCCACGTATGATTCGTGGTGTTGGACTGGGTGCTGGGGGCCGGGGCGTGTGGGTTGTGGCTGGGCTTGGGTTTGGTTGGGTGGTTGATCTTAGTAGATTTCATAAAGGATGCAGTGACAGATAGCGGACTTGATCCCAATAAACAACGTTTGTGCGTCAGAGAAGACGACCAGGAAAGGAAACAGATGACCCGCAAACAGGGGACATAGAAGCCACACACCAGGGAGCTTCCTGCCAAAATGCATGGGAAAATCCCACGGTCTAGTAATTCCGTTGTTCCTTGAACATTTTGAAGTCTCCTATTGTATCTGAGAAGGCTTCCGGTAACACAGTGGTTACATGTTGTGGTACTAATTCCAAGGTCAGCAGTTCAAACCTACCAGCTGATCCCCGGGAGAAAGGCGGGGCTTTCTCGTCCTGTAAAGAGTGAGTCTTGGAAACTCACAGGTGCAGTTCCACCCCGTCCTGTAAGGGTCTCTATGACTCGGCATCCACTCGCTGGCAGGGAATTTGGTTTGCATTTTTTCATATAGCTTGACCTAAGCCTTGGTATTTTCAATGGCTGCAAAGACAAGCGACAGTCGGACAATAAAGAAGACCAAAGGAGAGTGGATGCATTTGAACTCAGGTGCAGGTGAAAAATGCAAAGGAACACGCAGAGGTGTCTTGGAAGAAGTACAGCTAGAAGGCTCCTTAGAGCCAAGGCTGGGGAGACTTGGTGCCCAGGAGAGAGCAGTCGCTGGAGAAGGACATCATGCTTGGTAAAGCGGAGGGGCAGCGACAAAGAGGAAGAGACCGGACAGCATGTCGCAGTGGCTGCAGCAATGCGCTTCGATGGAAGAACCACGGTGAGGAGGGGGCAGGCCCAGGCGGTGCTTCTCAGGACCCACCCCGTGGCCCCTCACAACAGCAGCAGCAAGTCCATCTGACCGGGGCCTTGCCTCCTCAATCCACCAGAAAAAGAACTCTACTTCCTACTGGTAATAAGGAAAACAGAGCACCCAAGTGGGAAATGGTCGACAGACGGGGAGACTTTTCCCCCAGGGCGATCACAAAGGGCAGCAACAAGCACTGGACAGGCGGCTCACAGTCGTCAGCCGCTGGGGACACGCAAACCAGCACCACGGTGGCCAGCCAGATGGCGGTCATCAAAGATGGACAGAAATACAAGTGGCGGTCAGGGGGTACAGAAACTGGACCCCTCACGCGCTGCTGGTGGAAAGGTAAAATGCTGTGGCCACTGCTGAAAACAGTTTGGCCATTGCTCCAAAATGTACCCACAGGATGATCAGACACCCAAACTGATGCCAACCCCACTGCCCGCAAGTCCCTTCTGACTCCCCGAGACCCGGTAGCACAGAGCAGGGCAGAGCCCCTCCGCAGGGTGTCTGGGGCTGTCCATCGTCACCCAAGGAGGCCGCCGTGTCCTGCCCACACAGAGCGGCTGGGGGACTCAAACCACGCACCTTTTGGTTAGGAGTGCAGCACTGAATGCACTGTGCAACTAGGGCTCCTGAGGGTGCCCACGTGGTCCAGCAAGACCGCTCCCCCGCCCAGGTAAGGTGTAGGTAAACCCCACAGACCTGCAGAGAGGCACTGGCACTCAAGCTTGGACGTGAATGTTCAGAGCAGCAGCAGCAGCATTCTCAATAGCCCACGGTGGAAGTCGCCCAGCCGCCCCTCGCTAGAGGAACGGACGAACACAATGCACCGGAGAGCATGAGACCCCCACCAGGCAATATGATTCCACCATGCCGTGCATCGCACATGGGTGTACTCTGCAAGGCCGGTGCACCTGGCACGCACGGGGTGCCGAGCGAGGCAGGCTGACACCACAAGCACATGGTGTGAGATGCCATTCAGGTGACAGCTCCAGCATGGGGCAGCCCGCAGAGTCGGGAGATGGCAGAGGAAGACCTTGGCAGAGACGATCTGGCACTGATGGTGAGGATGGCCCCAGGCCTGCCAGTGCGTCCTCCTGTTCTGCACAGGGGCTCTGTGCATGGGGACCACTTGATGGCACCCAACACCAACAAGGAGACAGGAACCACGTTAATGGTTGCCAGGGGCTGGGGAGAGGAGGGCATGGGGCGGCTCCTTAGTGATTGTGGGTCATCTTTCTCAAAAACAAAACCCCTCAAAGAAACAAAAATCACTACCATGGAGTCCACTCTGGCCCTTTGGGACAGGGTAGACCTGTCCCTCGGGGGGTTCAGAGACTGCTGCTAACTCTTTACAAGAGTGGGAAACCTCCCCTTTCTCCACAGGAGCACCTGGTGGGAGCATCTGGAGGTTTTGAACTGCTGACCTTGAACTTAGCAGCCCACCGCAGAATTCACTCAACCCCCTAGACCAGCGGTTCTCAATCTGTGGGTCGCAACCCCTTTGGCAGTCGAATGACCCTTTCCTAGGGGTCACCTAAGACCATCGGCAAACACCTATTTCCGATGGTCTCAGCAATGGAGACCCTGCTCCTCTATCCGTCTCCAGGCAGGTCGCCCACACGCAGATACGCCCACCTACGAGTACCCGAAGTGAAGACTCACCCATGCTACACCGTGCTTCAAGACAAAATTTCATTTATTTGTCATTAGAAATGCATATTTCATAATATGTAATGACATATTGTTTTGTGATTAATCAATATGCTTTCATTATGTTCAATTTATCACAATGAAAATACATCCTGCATATCAGATATTTACATGACGATTCATCACAGTAGCAAAAACGACAGTGATGAAGTAGCAACAAAAATAATTTTATGGTTGAGGGTCACCAAAACATGAGGAACTGGATTAAGGGTCGCGGCATTAGGAAGGTTGAGAACCACTGCCCTAGCTGGAGCTGATGGTTGGTGGTTCAACGTGAATGTACTAAACACCACTCAGCTGTACTCTCTGCAACGATGAATTGTATGTTGAGTGAATTTCGGCGCGGTAGAGGAACAAGGAGTGGGCCTGTGACTGCGCTTCGTCCTTGGGCCCGTGCACACATGCAGGCCTCCCTCCATCCTAGGCAGCCGCCCGCATCCGACCCACGACATCAGCGTCCATCAAGTCCCCCAGCGCCAGGCCATTCATCCATCCTCTGGTGCCCTGGCCCTCAGTCCTTTCCCTCTAAGGTGCCCTGGTTGCAGCCAGTCTGAGGGAGCACCGCTCAGGTGGGGCTTCAGGCAGCACCAGGCGCCCCCAGGCCCTCGGGTGTGTCTCTGGGCTCTAAACCTGTGGACTGCTCTTTGGACCCCGATCAGGGTGCTGCCCCCCATCCCCCCCACCGCCCAAGACCAGCTCCCTCCCTTGGGATACACCCTCAATGTCCCCAGGTCTCCCCTGCCCCCAGGCAGGCTGTTTGCCCAGTGCCTGTGGAGGATCACAGAGAACAGCAGGACCCTAGGTAGTCAGAGCGCCCCCGCGGGCACATCCTGCCCCTGACGCTCCCAAGCCAGCAGCGGGGGTGGAGGCCACCTGCACAGGGGGACCAGGTGCTCTGCGGTCTCAGCCCCGCCCAGGCCCTGGCCCCCAGCACAGGCGTCCCCAGCCCCACTGGTTCACACTTGCAACCCATGGAAGAGGGCGCGCTGCTGCCCCGCCTGTCCCCAGAGGCTGTGCCGCTCCAGGAGGCGCTCACTCGTCGCTTCCCGTGAGGTTCCCGGCTTTTCCTGTCCCCTGTGCCCCTGTGCCCCATGGCCTGTCCTCTCCCTCTCATGGAAGCCCACTGCGACTGCCACAGGGTCTCTGGGCCAAAGCGGCAGGACGCCCGCCCAGGGCGCTCGGGTGCTGTTCCACAGAGACGCCAGCAGGTGGCGAGAGTCTCATTGTGGCGCAAGTCTAACACCTGCGGATGGGGCTGCAGTGCTTCACCCGCTTTAACAAACGTGGGTTTGGGTCAATGTAATACACCACGAAGATGGGATTAGTCGTTTTCCAAAAGGTGTAGAAGTTCGAGACCGTAAGGTTAAGCCACGGCAATGGTCTGTAGCTCATAAGGACCCTAAAATTTTTTTGAGATTGTAAATCTGTACGGCAGCACACAGCCTTGTCCTTCCTCGAAGCGTCTAGTGGGTCAGCCTTGCGACTAAGAGCCCACGTCTTATCCGATAGTAGTTGCGGAACGCCCCAAAAGCCTCCGGCAGTGGTTCACAAACACC